ACTCTCTCCCAGATTATTCTTATCTCAAACCTTTTGGTTGCCTATGTTTTGTTTCAACTCTTTCCCGTAATAGAGATAAACTCAGTCCTCGAGCTATTCCAGGTGTGTTTTTTGGTTACCCCTTTGGAAAAAAGGGTTACAAAATTCTTACATTACACTCTAAACAAATCTTAATTTCTCGAGATGTCAAGTTTGTCGAGTCTATTTTTCCATTTTCACTCTCTAGACCACTATCTCAACTCTTCCCTACTTCATGTCCTCTTCCCCATGACGAAGAACCTACATCATTTTTTTTGCCCCCTCTAGATCCTGAACCTGATCCTTCTGTTCCTACGCCTTTTCATACTCCCCCTGAGAATTCTCCTGTGTTATCTAGTCCACCAGAGCCACAGCTGCGCAGATCCACAAGGGAGAATCACACCCTTACTTATTTATCTGATTATATTTGTAGTAATGTTTTCTCTGTCATTTCTCCTAATCCCCTTTGTTTTCCTTTGCGTGCATATTCTTTTTCCACTATGACAACTCTTAATCAATCTTTACTCACATCTATTTGTCAAATTACTGAACCCACTTCTTATCACCAAGCTGTACTACATCCCGGCTGGAAGGCCGCAATGACCCAGGAATTTGACACTCTCAACTCCAACCATACTTGGGACATCGTTCAATTGCCACCAGCCAAGAAGGCCCTACCCTGCAAATGGGTGTATAAAGTTAAACTTAAGTCAGATGGGTCTCTTGAGCGTCTCAAAGCTCGTTTGGTGATTCGGGGTAATATACAACGTGAAGGGATTGACTTTACAAAGACTTTTTCTCCCGTTGTCAAAATGACAACTGTGAGATGTCTCCTCTCTATAGCTATAAAGAGGGGCTGGAAACTATACCAGCTCGATGTCAACAATGCGTTCCTTCATGGGGACCTTAATGAAGAGGTTTATATGCGGTTTCCTCCTGGTTTAATTGCTCCTTCTCCTTCTCATGTTTGTCGGCTCCGTAAGTCCCTATATGGCCTTAAACAAGCATCTCGTCAGTGGTATGCACGTCTGTCCTATGCTTTGTATACTAGAGGTTTCATCTGTTCCTTGAACGACTATTCTTTGTTCTATAAACACACTGGGGAGTTGGTTACTTTGCTTGCTGTATATGTTGACGACATCTTGCTCACTGGTAATAACCTGCAGGAAATTATAGAAATCAAGTTCTTTTTGGATTCTGAGTTTCGCATTAAAGATCTCGGAGAGGCTCATTATTTTTTGGGAATGGAATTGATTCATGAGGATGGTGGTATGCTTATTACTCAGCGTAAATTTGCTATTGAGACCTTAACTGAATTTAATTGCCTTGAATCCAAATCTGTCTCTACTCCTCTAGATCCCACTGTCAAACTCTCTTCGTCTTGTGGACCTCCTCTTCCAGACCCGCTTGTTTACCGACGACTTTTGGGAAAGCTCAATTTCTTGACTAACACACGACCAGATCTTTCTTTTACGGTCCAAACCCTCAGTCAATATATGCAAAATCCATGCCAAGGTCATCTTTTCGCTGCTTATCATACTCTGCGATATTTAAGTCACGATCCTGGTTTTGGTCTTTTTTTATCCCCAGACTTATCGTTTCAACTCCTTGCTTTTTGCAACTCCGATTGGGCTTCTTGCTCTGATACACGCCGTTCTGTAAGTGGTTTTTTTCTTAGCCTTGGAGGCTCTCCTATTTCTTGGAAATCTAAGAAACAGCCGGTTGTTGCTCTTTCTTCTGCTGAGGCGGAGTATCATTCCATGCGTCGCTTAGTTTCAGAGGTCACCTGGGTGGTTCGCTTGTTACATGATCTTTCCCTCTCTCCCTCTTTGCCGATTTCTCTTCATTGTGACAGCCAAGCAGCTATCCATATTGCTAAAAATCCCGTCTTTCACGAACGAACCAAACACATCGATCTTGATTGTCATTTCATCCGTGAAAAACTTCTTGATGGCCTCATTTCTTTATCTTTTGTCCCTTCTTCTTCTCAGCTGGCCGATTTGTTCACCAAAGCCCTCTCTGGGCCCCTTCATCGTTCCCTTCTTCTCAAGTTAGGTGTCCGTTCACCGGCCTCCAACTTGCGGGGGGGTGTTGTCGGAGACAAGCTCCTCGCCAATAGCTCTCAAGCAACAATACAAGAGAAAGGAAATAAAGACAATGATGCTGGATCTTACCGTTGATACGCAGAAGTCTTGAATAGAATTGAATAAGGAGTTTTGTGTCATTAGTCACAAAACTATTTATTAGTTTAGTTTTATCTATATTTAGTTGGTTAGGATTCTGTTACAATCAGGAGTCTGTTGGAATTCAATTACAATTAGGAGTCTAATACTTGTCCAACACTTGTATATATAGAGTAACAATGTACAGGGATAGAAACAGAGCAATACAGAAAAATTTTGCATATCGTTTTTTCTTTGAAGTTTTACAAGTTTAAGCATTTTTTTTTTCAAGATTTTGGTTTGTTTCCCATTTTTGTTACTTTCAAGTTGCTGCCTATTTTAGATTTTCTTGTCAATATGTTTTATGTATTGTGTAAGCTTTCGTTGGTGATTTAAGCATGTTTTTTCCAGATTTTGGTTTATTTTCTAGATTTTGATTTGTTTTTCATTTTTGTCTCTTTCAAGTTGCTGCCTATTTTAGATTTCTTGGCAATTCAAGTATTATTAGTTCTTACATAAGATTTCCTTGTCAATTCAGGCATTATTAGTTCTTGCACAAGGCTTTTTTCGTGGTTTAATAAAAAAAAAATTCAAATTTTGGTTTGTTTTCCGTTTTTGTTTCTTTCGAGTTGCTGCCTATTTAAGATTTCCTTGTCAATTTAGGTATTATTAGTTCTTGCACTTATGTTTCATGTATGGTGTAAGTTTTCATTCATGTTTAAGAATTTTTTCCCAGATTTTGGTTTGTTTCCAATTTTTGTTTCTAGTGGGATTTGATCCCGACCTCATTGCTAAAATTGAACTTCTCTTTGGTTGCTCTTAATGTTCTAACGAATTCCTAACTCTCTGAAAAATTCCTAAGGAGTTACTCTTAGGGGTCGTTTGGTAGAGTGTATTAGGAAAAATAACGCATGCATTAGCAGTGTGTATTACTAGTACCTTGTTTGGTACTCTTTTCCAACCTATGTATAACTAATGCTTGCATTAGTTATACACTCTATTGTGTATTAAGGTGTGTATTGCTAATACCATGGATTTCTAGGTATTAGCAATGCAATGGTTTTAATGCATGCATTAGATTAACTAATGACAAAACTACCCTCTAATAATAATAATAATAATAATAATAATAATAATAATAATATAATAATAATAATAATAATAATAATATAATAATAATTATTATTATTATTATTTTTGTAAAAGAATGTGGGGGTATTTTTGTAAACAAATATTTTTTTAATAGTCTTTATACAAGGCTTGCTATTTTCAATAGATCAAACCAAACAATGTATAAGAAATAATGCAAGCATAACTAATGCAAGCATTACTAATGCTTGCATTACTAATACATCATATTCAGCATTATTCTTATACACTCTACCAAACGACCCCTTAATGTTTTAACTCTCTAAGGAATGAATATATGTGGTACAAGGTCCTCTTAATGGCCTATATTGAATAGGTACAAGGTCCTCTTATGGCATATTTCTTAGGAAGTTCGTCTTCATTCAAATTCATTCCTAAGGAGTTGCTATTAATGTTTTAACTCTCTAAGGAATATATGTGGTACAAGTTCCTTTTATGGCCTATGTTGAATATATATGATACAAGATCCTCTTATGGCATATGTTATGGGATATTCGTTTCTTTCAAATTCGCATAGCGGTGTACTGGCAAACAATATATAGGATTCGAAATAATATATATGGCCTATGTTTTGGGCGATTCGTCGTCTTTCAACTTCTCATAGTGGTGTATTGTATATAGGATTCAAAATAATATAACCTATGTTCTGGGCGATTCGTCCTCCTTTCAACTTCTCATAGTGGTATACTGGCAAACAATATACAGGATTCGAAATAATAGTCGGCCCATCAAATTACTTGTTCATAGTTAAATACAAAATCTCTTTATAACTGTTTGTATTTAAAAGGACTCTCTGTTATAGTTGTTTTACTTTTTGCTATAGCTATTTATATTTAAAAGGACTCTCTATTAAAAGAATTCTGTTTTTAAGAACAATTCTGATAGAAGTTTAAACTATTTTTTTTTTCAATCACTTTGAAATAGCTCACCATACCACATTTGTAGATAATGTTGACTATGCATGTGTTCTAACTAGGGAAGTTAGTAAATATATTATAATATTTAATTGTTAAACAAATTGTCTTAATTTTGATATTTTTTTAATCATCATAGAATGATGGCTTAAGTAGCGTCCACTGGAGTTCGATTTTCCATTTTCTATATGCCTCTATTTCTGAAGCATCGTATAGGAGGTATACAGTACTAAATAAATTATGCTACAAATAAAGTAGAAAAAAATAATAACAACAACAATAAATAATACGATAACTAAAGAATAAAAACAAGTAATAATAAAATTGATTATACAAATATAACAAAGGCAAAACTAGTCTTCCAATCGACTCATGTGACTGAATAATTATCTATAGAAGATCAATGTAGAATGTCAATAGTTGAACTTATTTTTTTACACTTTCAATAGAAAACTCGTTTTCAAATTTTATTTTCCTAAGAAAAATATGTTTTCTAAATATTTTGAATACAAAAACAAAACATACAATAGATAATCCAACAATTTTTAATTTATGTATTACAAATTACAGTTTACAATTTATACATTATAATATGTTGCTGCATAACTTTGTCCATAAACCTATACGAAAATATGGTCATCGGATATGTCGGATCCTCTACAGACTATGTATTTAAAATAAAAATCTAACACGAATACAGTAACATTTTTTTAGAAGTCTGAGCAGCATAGTTATCATCGCGAGATTCTCAATATCATTAGAAAGGTGAAAGGTCTTTCCTAATGTAGTAGTTTCCTGATGGACTTCCTTGAGGTAAAAGAGCAAGCCAAACAGGACTTTGAGCACCCTCTTCAACAGTTAATGTGCCACAATTGCAACATATATCAGTTTTCACATAACCTGGACAAACACAGTTTATGAGAAAATTTGGGTAATTTTTTGCCAATACTCTTGTGTAACCATTTAGGGCTGCTTTTGATAGGACATAAGCAGATACAGTTGTTGGCCAATTTTTTATTTCTAGCAAACCCTCTTTAAAATCTTTGAGAAAAACATTCAAAACCTCATCCACTTTGTCTTCTGTTAGATTATCACAATCATTTAAGACTCCAATAGCCCATTCATTGCGTACTTTCTGAAACAAAACATCATGTCAGCTTTTCTTGTTTACTGTATTAAAAATAGATGTTTGTGATATGACGTGTTATAAGATTGATATGCATTTAGATAAAATACCTCTAATTTTCCACCAGAGGAGGAGACATTGACAATACGTGGTGAATCAGATAATTGAAGTAGAGGTAATAATTGTTGTATCATCCATTTTGCACCATAGTAATTTGTTTTTATACATTCTTCAGCTATATCAATAGTTTGAGTGGCTACGTTTATCTTCTCAACGAATAAGTCTTGCTGCAATTAAGACCAACACTAGATTATTTCATTTCAAATGGGATAAAGAATATACTCAAGAATTTTTATTTTTTTTAATAAGAATATACTCAAGAAATTCACACAACTGTAGGTAAAATGGCCCTCGTGCCTAACTCAACTCCAAATGTAATGACCCGAAAGGTCATTTTGGTGATTTTTCATGGAAATGACTATTTTGCCCTTTCGGTAGTTGCCCCGAGTCCCATGTTTTGTGGTTGTAAAGTTGGTTTGAGGAAAAGTTGGTAAAAAGTTGAGTTTTTGAGAAGTTGAGTTTTTTATGAGTTAAAGTTGGTTAAAAAGTGTTTTTTTCAAGTCATTTGGAATTTCGAGACTCGGATCGGATTTCCGTCGATTCCGACAGTTTTAGAATGTCAAAACGGGTATGTGTGAAGTTACAGAGTTGAATTTGGAGTTGAAACGAAGAATTGAGGTCCTAAATTGCTAAAGTTGTGAAATTTTGATAAAGAGTTGACTTTGGTCAACATATGAAGTTCCGAGGCTCAGATTGAAATTCCGAGAGTACCGTTGGTTTCGGGAGGTGATTCTAAGTCTAGAATGAGTCTTGGTTGAATTTTTAGACGCTCCGTTTGAGTTTCGAATTTTTTTGGCGTTAAACTAGTTTCTTGGCATCTTATTGATTTTCGGGTCAAGGAGTCCTCAAATTCAAATTATGACGGTTCCATTGAGTCCGGAACGTCAAATTTAGTGGGGGTACATATTTAGTTTGTGTGCACGAGATTCCGAACGAATCCCGAGGGTCCAACGGGGACTTAAACTTTGGTGTTATAATTGTGTTTCAGCTGCTGTGTTTTTTAGCTGCAACAACAGTTTCTTTTCTTTTTTTTAAAGCCAAAATCAGTAGCTAAATTCCCCAACTTGAAAATACCCATTTCTCCATTTGTGCACTTTGAGAGCTCAAAAATAGGCGATTTCAAGTGGTTTTTCGCAAGGAATTCATTGGGTAAGTTATTTCCAATTTATATCTTTGATTTCCATCGATTATTTATGGATTTTAACATCAAAATTTGAGATCTCAACTGTAAAATTTGGGGTTTTTTGCCTAATCCGAATTTAATAGAAAATTTGAGTTTGTGAACTCATTTCAACTCCTTTTTCGAAACGGTTTTCACTATTGGATTCTAAATTTCTTGGGGAACATTTTTCACTAAAAATTTCCAGATTTCGAGAATATTTTCCGGGACGAGATTTTTTGACCATTTTACCCTTTTTCTCCAAATTTCACGATATTGGTGTTGTTAGATTCGTATTGATTGTGGGATTCCATTTATGAATAGATTGTGGTGATTTGGAGCGTGCTCGGAAGGGTAAAACTCAGATTGGAGTTACTAGTTAAAGTGTTTTGAGGCAAGTGACTTCTAAACTTTGTTAAACTCTTAGACTACACATGACTACTTTCCTAATTGTGTTGGGGAGTAATGGGGATTGAGGATGAGTTTTATTTGTTGATTGCAATTGTTGTAATTGAAAGATGGGGAATAAAACGAGCTAAATGTGTTATATGTGACTTGAATTTGTTGAATAAGTCATGTGATAACTGATATTGAGGGGATAGAAGAGCATGAGTAGGCTATGATTGATACAGACATTGATGTTGAGACAGATGATGTGTAATACTATGATGTGGTCGTGACATCGTTGTGATTGAGACAGACGATGTGTAATACTATGATGTGGTCGTGATATGGTTGTGATTGAGACAGATGATGTGTAATACTATGATGTGATCGTGATATGATTGTGATTGATGACATGTGCATATTCATTATTCATCCCATGTGTGAACTATCTGTTGCATGAGTTCTGAGACACTGATATGAGGATGGATGGATATGAGACACGGTTGAGACTAGCTCCGGCTAGAGATATATGAGATGGACTAGCTCCGGCTAGCGATTTGGATGCGGATGAGATCTGGTTCCGGCGGTGATACATGGTCCATGTGTGGCCCCCATGGGTTCTGATTTGAGTATTCAGCGCGGTTTGATTATATCAACAGATGTGTATCTTAGGACAGACATGCATCACGACTACATGACATCATTATTGCATTTGCATCGCATTTGACTTCATCTTTGTCTGTGGTGTGTGGATTTTACCTACTTGCTCCTCTTCATGTGATATATGATCTATTTGCTCTTATATGAGGATATGAGGTTGATGTTGAGATACTATTGGATATATCTGTTGATTATGAATTGTGTAGTATAAGTTGTTGGTTCGCTGTTAGAATGAAGTTTCGGTGGTTCGGTTGGGATTGAAAGGAGTTGTTTGTAGCTGTTAGTTTAGCTTAGTTTAGTGTTACTTGCGAGTACCTGTTGCTTTTGGTACTTACCCTTGCTTCTACACAGTTGTGTAGGTTGACCGCTCTATCAGATCCGGCTTATTACTCATCTTCAGATTAGAGCTTCCAGACTTACTTGAGAGGTAGCGGTTCATTCCAGACGTGCCCTCAAGTTATCTATATTTACTGTTCTGTTCTATTCTAGAACTTTACTATGCGACTTGTATATTTTATTCAGATTCTGTATTAAAGGTTTGTACATGTGACAACCAATTCTGGGGTTATGTTGAGTTTATTTAAACACTTTCGCTTATCTTTCTATCTTATTCTTGTTTTATAAATTCTGTATCGTCGGGTTCTTGGGTGTTAGGCTGACGTGTCCGGTGGGGTTTGGGCACGTGCCATCACATCTGGTTTTGGGGTGTGACACCAAATTTCCTTGATGTGAGACTTAACACCTCAGTCTCACGCCTAGGACTGAATATTTGGTACATGGACAATTTAATATGATAAATCATAGATTGTAAATTGGAATGTGTTTTGTTTTAAAAACCATGTAAAAAAATAAATTTCAATTCTAATTCAACCTCAAAAGCTAGCTCATGATGAGAGGATCAGAATACTCGAGTCTATCTCATCCACAAATGTGAGATTTAACACCATAAAATTGAAAGTAGATTCTTTTTTTTTCTTTTATATGAATGAAAAAAAAATATATTCTATATATAATAAGTCACAATGGAACTATCATTATAACTATCTTGTTAGCTTTCAACCAAAAGTTAACAAGATTTTTAGTTACATATTAATTAGTTAGTTAAATAATAAATATGTCATTGTATGAGTTATTTATTACTCATTCCTTTTGAATTTGTTAATCTGATTTTGATCTGACACATAGTTTACGAAAGTAAATTAAATTTTGAGAAAAAACATTAAGTGATACTTGAAGTTGTCCCAGATTTTCAAAAATACACCTTTACTAACCCCACAAAACATTCAAAATCACAATAAATACACATTTTTTGCACAATATTTGCACTTTGGACAAAAATATCCTTCGAATGTGCAATTTCTTAAAAACAAAAAGTCGGACCCATTATTGATGTATTGAAGGATGCTTTGGTAATTTCCTATGATGAATTTGTTTTGTTTGTTTCTTTTAAATTGATTTTACTATACTAAATAATTGTATAAAATATTATGAATCACGATAATTAATTACTTAAATATTAAAAGATATAAAAATATATAAAAGATCTGATTGACTCTTCAAATTTTACCGGTGACACATAAATTGGGACAAATGAAATAATATATATTATTTGAATTTTTTTTAAAAAGTACTATAAATTACAATAATTAACGGCTAGAAATATTTCAAAGACAAAAAAATTGATTGAATCTCAAATTTTTTTTAGTACTACATAAATTGAGAAAGAAGAAATGACATCTATTATTAAAAATGGCGTAAAAGTATTACAAATCATACAATAAAAATTAACAATTTTAAATTTTAAAAGACTTTAATGCTTTATACTTATTTTATTTCAACTTTGAACAAAAATATCCTCCCAATATGCATATTTTTTTAAACAAAAAGTGGGACCCATTATTGATGTATTTAAGGATGCTTTGGTAATTTTTCTATGATGAATTTGTTTTGTTTGTTGTTTAATTTTTTTAAAATAATTGTATAAAATATTATAAATCACAATAATTATTTACTTAAATATTTAAAAGATATAAAAATATGTAAAAGATCTGATTAACTCTTCAAATTTTATCGGTGACACATAAATTGGACAAATGAAATAATATATATTATTTGAAAATTACTTACAAAGTACAATAATTTATAGTATTTAACAATAGAATATTTTAAAGACAAAAAAAATTGATTGAATCTCAAAATTTTATTAGTACCACATAAATTGAGAAAGAAGAAATAACATTTATTATTTCAAAATTGCGTAAAAGATATTACAAATCATACAACAATAATTAGCAATTTAGAATGTTAAAAGACATAAAAAAATTTTTACCATAGTTAACAATAATAAAAAATTCAAACTATTTTAAATTAATATTAAAGTTTGATTAACTCTTTAATTTTGTCTTTGTCACATAAATTGAAACAAAAAATGATACATATTGGGCCCGTGCTAGCACGGACTCCGATGCTAGTATATATATAAAGGAGAAAGATAAAGAAGGTGATGTGACACCTTTCTATGGCCTCCATTCATATTTGTCTTTTTTATCTCTTTTTTTTTACCATTTCTTCCTTCATTATTTAATTATTTTATTTTTAATATCTCAAAAAGTCTTCACATTCAATTACTCAATTTTTCACCTACCACTATCATATATATTTAATATCTTTAATAAAATAAAAAAATAACTACCAATAACTCACACCTCTTTAACTTATAATCTTAATAATATTCATAACTCCTTCTTTTCTTTTTTTTCTAGTTTTCATAACCCCCGAAGTTAAATTTATTAGTTTATGACACCTTATGGTATTCCTCCTCCTTTTCTATATAAATTCATATTTTGTGGCAAGAAAAATTTCATTAAAAGTTATTATTTCACTTCTCCATCACCATATCTACATTAGGGTGAGGAAGAAATGCTAATCATCACATCATATGGTTGCTTTCAACAAAGTCGT